AAATGAGTGGAAAATGCAAATCAAACCCAACTAAAACCAATAATTTTATATACATCATGATATTTTTCTAGGGGGGGGGGTAAAAAACTTTCTAGGGGGGGGTAAAAAAAATTCCGGCGCGCTTCGCGCGCCAAATTAAAAATTTTTACCCCCCCCTACAGAATCCTTATATCCGCCCCTGGAGACGTCTTTAACAATTTTCTCCTTACAGACGCAACAGATAGAAGTAAGATTAGTAGCGATTAAAAACGCTTTTTTATCGCATTAAGCCTATACCCCCTTTCATTTCTCGCGAACACTCCCTTTAACAAAGGTGCAGAGAAAAGAAATTAACATTAAAGTATAATGCATATTTGATTTTAAATCTTATCATGATATAAAAACATTTGTATGGAGATTGGCGAACTCAAAAAAGAACATTTTTTCCCCCACTAAATATTACATTAACAGTATACAGTGTACATATTGCATCTCAAAGTCAAGTGCAGTGTACACAAGGAATACATTAAAAAAAATTAAATAACCTTAACAGAAATTATATGGTTAAATGAATATATTTTTCAAATAATGACAAATTTTAAAAGTTATGATCTGCAACCTTAGTTTTAAGTCGCCTTCTATTAACTGAGCGGCATGAATAACAACCGTCTAAATAACTATTAAATAACTATCCCTGTTTTTGAAAACTGATAACTTTATTTTGTGGTTTCTCTTCAAAGGTGTCTCACCCGTTTTGTAGCGTAAAAAAAGAATTGAACCCTATTTCAGTCAGAAAAAGACGACATTGTTTGTCAGATAAAGTATTCAAGGGAATACCGTTGTGAATCGGAATATCGGGCATCTCCCTCTTCAGAAAAATTCAGATTATTTTACTCCAATAAAAAATTAATTAAAATAAATTTGAGGGTTTTTTTAAAGAAGTCGCTTTTTGCACCAAGAAATTAGGAAAAATATTTTCCAGTTAAATACTCAAATACTTTAAAAACATTGAGTTAAGATAATCATATCAAATTATTTGGAAATATCAGCGTTTTTAGAGCGTTAGTGCACATTAGTGCAAACAAATGAATTCGACGTTTTCATGCATGCTTGGATGTTTACTTAAAGAGAGTGTTCACAAAAAATGAAAAGGGGTATAGGCACATAAAAATTCACTTAGTTGCGTTATTCCACTTAAACCCTAAATAATTCAATTCAATAATTCAAATTTTGGTCCTTTCATCTGGGGACCACTGTGTTTCGTATGTCGTCTTCATTACTTACTTTGAACAGAGCCCGAAACTTAAGACAGAGTATCGTAATGAAACCCAGTATCGGAAACCCGGTTTCTTGAATGGGGTCAGACAGTTTTGTAGATACCAACATTTTTGTTAAGAAATATTATTTCTTATATTATTTCTAGACCCCTAAAAAGAAACTCGGGGATTTCGTTAAACGAGACTGTTAAATTTCCGGCTCTGGGGACCTTTTTACTTTCTTAAAATCATGTTAATTTCCCGCTTTTTTTCTGAGGACCACTGCAGTTTTCACAAAAAGTCGTCTTTAATTTTCACTTTGTTTGGATTATCACACGTGTTTACACGTTTTCTGATTTTTTTTCATTTCGTTTGTTCATTGTTCGTGATTGACCCATTTCGTTCGTTTTTTTTAGCCGTTTAAAAAATTGATTTCGTTTGTTCTCAAAATTATCGTCCATTTTCCATCTATTTGTTCGTTTTCCTACTGAACGAACTTTCAGCTCGTTAAAATCGTTTGTTTATAGGGAGTGACCGGCTATGTAAGGTAGTTGAACTTAGTATGCAGTGTTGTGGAAAACTTCTTTCGGATTTATTTGAGGCATATTAAACTTTTTAAAGATATGTAAATTCTGAGTTTGAGAGCAAATTCGACGTTCAAAACTCCTACTTTGGGGGTGGATACGTTTTCAGAATTAGTTTTTTAATGATTAAATAACGATAACGAAAAATAAAGTAAAAATTATACAGTAATCTAATTAAATGGAGGAACATATTTCTCAAAGAAATTTGTCAGTAAATCAATGGTAAAATTGATTATTTCGTTTTCATTATTATATTGAATATCTTATTTTCTTTGAATTTATTCGCAGAATATTTTCAAATTCTTCAAATGTCGTCTTTTCAATAATAATTCTAGAAAATCTGCGAGAATACGATAAACCAGAATAATGAGATAATAGAAACTAATAATTTAGCAAGATTACTTATTTTCTATAATAAGATTAATTTTTATTTTCTCAACATGTTCCTATACATGACGTCTGTAGTTTTTTGTTGTCCTTTTTTACATTTTATGTCGTCGTTATTGAATAATTTAAAGAAACTAATTCTGAAAACATATCCACCCCTAAAGTAGGAGTTTTGAACATCGAATTTGCGTTGAAACTCAGGATTTACAGATCTTAAAAAAGTTTAATATGTTTCAAATGAATCCGAAAGAAGCTTTCCACAACACTGCATACTACCTTACATAGCCGGTCACTCCCTTTAATAAAATCTTCGTCCATTAAAATGAATATCGCTTTTTAAAAACTTTTTCGAAAGAATCGTTTGTTCAGTAAAAAACGATGTTTTTTAAAAGTTGTTTCGAAAAAATAGTTCGTTTCGAAAAAACGATCGATTTTTCAATATTCGTTCGTTCAATAAAAAAAAGAATGATTTCAATAAATTAAAAGAAAAAAATGCTAATTTTTGGAATGGGCGGTTGTAGCGTAAGTGGCCGATTGCCTTAACTCACTCTTCAGGCAGTATTTAGGCCGAGAACCGATTGATGGTTACGTAAATCTCCAAGTTATCATGTATGTACTCAATGAACTTGGATAAAATACGGTTAGAATGTATTACTCAATTAACTTTTAATATGTGTGAAATATAAAATGTAGCAGTTAGTCTACAAGTTATTATGTATGTACTTAATGACCTTGAATGAAATATGAAATGTAACAGTTAATCTCCGAGTTATTATGTATGTACTTAATGAACTTGAATGAAATATAAAATGTAACTGTTAATCTCCAAGTTATTAAGTATGTACTTAATGAACTTGAATGAAATATAAAATGTAACTGTTAATCTCCAAGTTATTATGTATGTACTTAATGAACTTGAATGGAATATAAAATGTAACTGTTAATCTCCAAGTTATTATGTATGTACTTAATGAACCTGAATGGAATATGAAATGTAACTGTTAATCTCCAAGTTATTATGTATGTACTCAATGAACTTGAAAGAAATATGAAATGTAACTGTTAATATCCAAGTTATTATGTATGTACTTAATGAACTTGAATGGAACATGAAGTGTAACTGTTAATATCCAAGTTGTTATGTTTGTACTCAATGAACTTGAATGAAATATGCACTAACGATTTAATTAATCCATGAAGAGATCGAAAAGTGGTGATTTGATTTTGTCTGAGAAAGATTCAAAATTCTTGGATTTCAATTTAAAATTATAATTGCATACATTTTCATAACACATTCAGTACACACCTTGCACTCCTCAGTCCCCCCCCTTCCCCCGCTTAAA